GAATTCGACTGATGTCTATATCTGGTGAAAAATTATCAGCACAACCACAATTAGTGCAACCATTCAAAGAAAAATTGATGAAAACAATTACCGAGCTAGATTTAACAATGGAACAAATTTACAACGCAGATGAAAGTGGCCTTTATTGGAAGATGTTACCAGAGAAAATCTATGCTGCATTATTTGAAAAATCTGCCCCGGGAAGAAAGCCGGAGAAACAACGAATAACGTTTCTAGCCTGCACTAATGCTAATGGTTCACACAAAATAAAGCCACTGGTAATTGGGAAAGCAAAAAATCGGCGCTCATTTAAAAATGTTAATATCTCTGTTGATTATGACTGTTTAAAAACCGCTTGGATGACTAGCAGTACATTCCAGAAATTGTTCCACAGGTGCTTTGACCCTCAGGTATGACAATCAATTATCACAAATGCTCTATTCATAATTTGAAGATGTGTTTTCAATTTGTAGGTAAAAGGTTTCCTAAAACAACAGAAGCTTCCAATAAAAGCGTTGTCACTATTGGATAATGCACCAAGTCATCCTTCCGAGCAACAACTCAGGAGCAGGGATGGGTCAATTTTCGTCATGTACATGCCGCACAACGTAACACCGTTAATTCAACCGATGGACCAGAATATAATAAGACTCACCAAACTATACTATAGGAAGTTTATACTTTCGTCTGTCTTATCAAAGAATCCTGAAAACTTATCTGAGGCTTTAAAAAAAGTAACATTACGAGAAGCTGTTTTAGATTTACATATGGCCTGGAATGAACTTAACCAGCAAACTATTCAAAAATGTTGGAACAATCTCTTTTGTACCAATAATGAAGATGATGAAGAAGACGATGTCCCCTTAAGCGTAATTAGAGAACGTTTGCGATCCAATAATGATGACGTTATTAGTGTGTCACTGGATGTTGTTGATTTATTGAAAACAGTGAATCCCAACATTGTTTGTACTCCTCCTGATATTAATTTATGGAACGAAGATAAGCAAACGAATGATGCTGATAAGGAGGAGGATATGGACAGTGAGGATGATGAGAACGATCCCATTGAAGTCAGCAGTGTAGTGACTGACGCGCAAGCTATACAAGTTTTTAACCAAGCTTTAGATTGGGCTGAAAGACAAGAAGTTTCATACACGGATATTTTAGTTCTTCGTAAATTACGGGCGCAGGCATTGGAAGACAATGCTAAGCGCAAATTTACACAGACAAAAATTGTTAGAATATTTGTTTATTTTGTTATAAATAGTATGTATTAAACGTTTCTTTTAATAAATCAAATATTATATAAATCACGTTCGCTAATGTAAACATTTCGATAATGTGAACCACACTTGGATTAAATTAGTTTACATTATCGAGCGTCTGCTGTATTTGACAAAGCCATTTTTATTTCAATTTTTATTTTTCGATCTACAGTGCCGTTGATCCTGTAAATCACTTCATTTTTGATCAAGTAACGCGGAAAAAAGACGATTTTGAAGCGAACAACCTAACAGTCGTTTTAAAGATTTTCTAAAACATAAAACACTAATTTGTTCAGTTTACTTGATTTTGTCAAATAGAAATGGGTGGCTGGTCGGCTTTTTCGAAGATACCATTTTCTTACGAATCATTTGACACTACACACCCTTATTTTCACTATTTTTCTGAATAATTGTAAGAAACGATTATACCTAACATTACATAACACGTATTAGGATATGCATTTAATTCATTTGTATAGTTTACTCCTAATAGGACAACGTCTACTTATTTTTCTTCACTGACAAACACCTTCAGTTGTTTGTCACGGATAACTAGAATAATAGGACTATGCATACGAGGTTTGCTCAAAAAGTATCGCAAATTTTGAATTTTCGCAGGCTACGTATGTTTGATTTTCGATCGTTTTGTGGCGTTATGTTGGTACTCATGACCCACACTAATGTTGACACTATCGGCCATTTTGAATGTTCAGTCAGTTTTTGGCAGCTATTTCGCGTGGACGTGTTTTAGCTTGTCTCCGATTTTTGTCTATTCCAAAAGATGGATCAAAGAATTTGTATTAAAATCTGTGTAAAAAACAACTTGAAGAGCGCGGATATATTCCAAATGTCGATTGTTGCATACGGCGAAGCTACTTTGGACCAAAGCAACGTTTATCGCTAGTACACAATGTTCAATAATTCAGAAAAATAGTGAAAATAAAATAAGACTGTGTAGTATCAAATTATTCGTAAAAAAATAGTCTCTTAGAGAAAGTCGACGAGCCACCGCCTTTCTATTTGAAAAAATCACGTAAACTGCAAAAATGAGTGTTTTTCACTTTTAGAAAATCGTATTTTTCCCGTGGATCTCGATACAAAATAAAGCGATTTACATGGCATTCTAGATCGACACATGAAAATTGAAATAAAATTGACTTTATTTTCAAATACTGACAAGTGAGGCCTTGTTTAGTGCAGAATGTCATTCTCGATCGAAATAAGTAAAAATATATAGGGTGTTCCATTTAAAAATCGAAAGTTGGAGTCGTTTCCGGTCAAACCGGCAGGTACGTCAAAGCAAGTGAATAGGCCAAGAAATGTAAATTCGTCTATAATACGCAACCCCTAAATGTCGTTTTTCTGTCTTCAATCATAAAAAAGTTATAAGGGTAAACCACCCGGTATAAGCAAACAAGAGGGTATGCTCTTTTGAACAACTCAAACCATTTTGTAAGTACCTAGGTGAAAAACTGAATCGCCACTTACCGATGGTTTGACGATGTTTGGCAATCGTCACTACTTGCGCACCATGATTTGAGTTTTTCAAAAGATCACACCTACTTGTATGCTTTCCGTTTCGCCTGTCTCCAAAACTAGACCTAAGAACTATACCGCTCTGATGAGTTGATAATAAGCATGAAACAGCGCTATCTGCGGTTGGTCACGGTTGCAGAGATGGAAAGCAAACATGTTCATTTCACCAATTTTCAAAATCCAACCGTTTAATTAAATTTAGTGAACTGTTTACTTAGATTAGGTACACCAATTTGTTTAAAATTAATTAACTGTTAAAATTTTACCTGCTCAAAGCAAAACAATTTAATAATATCTATTAAATTTGTTTAATTATGTTGTTTTCGAATCAAAATAAAAACTTTCGAAGTTTGTAACCCTATCAAAAGAAGATGTTTTTATTCTTATTAATTTAACTAAGATTCACTGAAAAATTCCGAGCCCTGCCGATTCCGCGATTCAAATAATCAGTTTAGCTGTTTTTATTAATTGTTTAATTGCTTCAAATGTACATTTTCTATACAAACTAAATTACCTAAACTAATTAAACAGTTTGCTATTTTCTCAGTGCATATACAGGGTGCTAGGGAAATAATATTCCTAACATTAAGAGGTGATTCCTTGCATTATTCTAAGCAAAAAAGTTCGTCATAACTTATGTCCGAAAATCAATCGTTTTCGATGAAAGTGAGTCGTAAATAATTAAATTTTTTCTAACATTCGGCAACGCTGCAACGCAACCGCGATACGAGCGCACGACGACTGCAACTGATTCATCGAATTGTTTACGTTTGGATGATATTTTTGTTGAAAATATGCCTTGAATTATTGAATACTTTTACGCATTTTTTGTGGCTAATATTTAATAACGCTTTCAGTACAGTACATTTACTTTAAAAAAATGACAGAACTTACCGGTACGTGGCGATACACACCACTAATTCCCACGATTATCAGTCACTTATTTGAAACGATGCGATGCACGAAAAAAGAAAAAAAGACATCACATAAAGTTACAGTTAAATGTATTAGCGATCACAACAACACGCGATGATACATGCAGTGCGACGTTGCCAGTTGTGTGAGGGATTTTGTTTGTCTGTTTTTCTTCGGAAACTTGTATTTAATAAGCAAGAAAATTATTTTTTTAGAGACAGTTAATTAATAAATAGATGTATTGATACATTTTACGCTATTCGGCATATGAATTTAAATGATGAATGTGCACAATTAATTTATTTTATGTCTAAAAAGAAGTAAATTCAGAATTTTTTTTTACTCCGAAACAGTTGATTTTCGGACAAAGGTTATAATGAACTTTTTACTTAGAATAATGCAAGGAATCACCCCTTAAAGTTATGAATATTATTTTCCCAACTCTCTGTATACATAGAAACCTATTACTGATTTGCGATTTGTGAATACTTTGTATTCCGAACAGTTGAGAGTCGAACGTTATAGTGGCGTGGAGCGACATCTCTGGGATTAGCGCAGAACGTCGAGAGGTTATGGGTCAGAAGACGTAGTGGTGCCTCTGTCGTTTTTATCGCAACGGATGAGGATGAAAATCATCTTGGAAAACCATGGGTAGGTGATGACGGTCAGACTTTCACCTAAATGCACAAAATTGTTCGGCTCGCAATAGGAAGCAAACTTGGTCTGCGGACTGCTCCACTTCAGGTCCAGATGGAACCTTTCCTGGTTCTGTTTTCATTTTGCTGTTATTAAAAACCGTTTTTCAATACTTTTGCGATAACTGACATAGGTACTCGAATGGGTAGCTATACCTGATGTTCGTAATTTCTCACTTGTTTTCAAATATTTCGTAACATAAAGCTTAGATTTGACACTGTCATAATGAAGTTGGTAGGATATAATTTTATATGACATTATTATTTAACTAGGTATCTTTACTTATTATTTACCTAGAATAATGATGACTTTTCCGGATAGAATACCCTGCTACCGAAAAGGAAGAGAGCCGCAAAATACATCGCACGCTACTGAACTGACAAGGTAGGAGCGTGAGTATTGCCGTATTAAAGAAGATGCTGCGCTGGTCAGTGGCGTGCGATGTGTTCCACCGCTTTCTTCCTTTTCGGTAATCGAATATGGTGGAAAAAGTATTTTAAATCCTTCCTTTTCTGTGACATGTTCACAAATTCACTGATGTTCAACCTGAAATTCGGCTCTGGAACACTCCACAATTTTTGAGGATCATTAAAGAATGCCTTGCTCTACAGGTAAATTAAAGCACAAACCTTCTGTGGCTCGCAATAACGAGACACATGTAAACACTTTACTTATTTTATTTATGTGTTTTTTTGTAACGATAATTATAATGACGACACTTACCTTCAAAGGCCTTTTTATAGTAACTGTTTCTATAGTTGTGATTGGTTGAGCCATATTCCTGAAATAGATATTTATCGTAAGTACCCTCGTTATTAGATGTAAAAAACATTAGATCGAATTATTGATTAACATGTTCAACCAGACGGTATTACTCAGATAAGCGCCATCTATTTCGATCGGCGAAAGACGGCCAACTATGGAGAGATGTTTCGTGGTTTTTAGCAACTCATCAGCACGGTCTCGGGGACATCAAATGAAAGCATATCAACTTCGCCGTATCAGAGATATGATGATAAGGGTGCAAAGTGTCATCTGTTACCAGAATCGATCACGGCGTGTATCGCGACTGTCGCTTGGAACTGTAAAGATCTCAATTCGGGCTTGACCGCCACCATCACCGCTGGAAGCTGTCGATTCCGGAGGGGTAGTAGATGTGGGCTCCTCGCCCCAAACAGCTGTCAATGTTGACTATCTGTGATCAGACGGTCATGTAGTGAAAGAAAATGACTTCATTATTTCTGAGAAAAAAGGTTAGCTACGAACAACAAAAGATTAAATGGTCTTCCTCACCCCCTGAGGGAAATTTTTCCGGGCGCACATGATCGTTGCTATGACTAACCTCGCGTGGTTGACGGTACTGACTGTTACAGCATACAGCAGCCCAAAGGCGACTTTCAACTGCGTCGTACGATGCACGACTATTTGTAATGTAGAAAAATATGTCTAATAGGTGCGTTGAGTTACTGGGGTTAGAGTCGTTTAAATATACCAACGTCAAAAAATTAAGATATCCAAAGACCAGGATTCTGCTGGAACTGGACAGAAAGTTCATCACTATGCTTAACGGGTCGCTAAGCTGATGGTAAATTGAAATACTTGACAGTATGTTTCGATTTTGGTCCAATACCTTTAATATTTGTGAGGCAAAAATATCAATCAGTAGTATGATGGTCTCTCGGTTATCTTCAAACCATTGGTACCACAAAGGGCATTTTACGATTGTCGCCTCTTAACCAACCTGTTAACAACGTTACACAAGTCTTACAACATATACTAAGTGACATATAAATCCGAATACCCAGTTTAAATGGTTTTATTTTAATAAAATTTTGTATAAGTACTTAATGAAGCATAATAAGTAAATGATAAAAATTTCAAAATGATTGCACTGCTTTAAAGCCTTTTGACCTTTAATAATGTGTGGATGCACCCTGATGTGCTACGCATTCTCCAACGCGCCTAGGCATGCTTCTGATCAGGTGGTCAATGTCCTCCTGTGGTATCTCATTCCAGGCAACCACCAACTCCTCTCGAAGTGCTTCTAGAGTCTGAGGATCACGTTGCAAATTGAGCAATCTCCTACCCATCATATCCCACACGTGCTCAATTGGGGATAAGTCGGGAGATCTTGGTGGCCATGGTAACAATGTGACATCATTATGGTGAAAGAAGTCTATTGTGACTCTTGCAACATGTAGTCGGGCATTATCTTGTTGGAAAGTTGGATCTGCCAGGGTGTTAAGATAGGGTAAAAGATGGGGTTCTAGAACTTCGTGGATATAACGCTGCGCGTTCATGTTACCTCTGATGAAGATTAAAGGTGACCTGGAACCGTAAGCTATAGCACCCCAAACCATAACTCCAACAGTGTGATGAACATGTCTTTCAACAAAAAACTGTTGATTCCTCCTTTCACCACGTCGCCTTCTAACCCTGGCACGACCATCGTGCATGCCTAAACAAAATCGAGACTCGTCACTAAAGACAATACTGTTCCATTCCTGATCCCAGAGTGACCGTTGTCTGCACCACTCAAGGCGATTACGTCGGTGTTCTCGAGTTAAAGGGAGGACCCAGTGTGGCCGGTATGAAAACAAGCCAAAACTTCTCATTCGTCGGTAAACACTTCGCACGCCAATAGGTCTTCCGTGTTCTGCAAACCATTCATTTGCAATGGACCTGGTAGTGGAGAAACGGTCCCTGAAGGCCAATAATCTTAGGCGGCGATCTTCACGGTCTGTTGTTCTACGGCGGCGTCCAGTGCCCCTTGCTCTTTGCGTACGGCCTTCTCGAAGCCATGCCTGACAACACCTAACCACAGTGTCTACACTTCTTTGCACTCTAACTGCAATTGCCCGAAAAGAAAGTCCAGCTTCCCGAAGTCCCACTATACGGCCCCTATCAGACTCACTAAGTTGACGAAATCGTACAGGTCTCCGTACTCTAGGCATCGTAACCGATCGTAAAGGATGTCAAGAACCAAAATCCGCCAACGTTGATTCTTTACTGCGGCTGAAATATTCATTTTTAGAGCGTTAGTGAATTAAAAAAGCAGTATAAAAACCGGAATGTCCAACTGATAAGGCTGAAAATTTTTTCACTTGTTATTTACAGTAAGATAAATACATTCACCAACTTTTATTAAAATAAAACCATTTAAACTGGGTGTTCGGATTTATATGTCACTTAGTATATATGAGGGGTCCATAGTTTATCTTAGTCGCCAACTTTAATGCCAAAACAAAGTTCGTATGCTTTCAACACAAGGGGAGTAAAAGTACGTTTTTGGGATTTAAAAGTTAGGTCTCCGCACACATAACAAAAACTATTCGCTCTATTTACACAATTTCTAGGCAATGTCCATAAAGCTAGTCTCGATCACAATAAACTAAAAACAACACACCGGTTTAACAAAAATTAACAGTACTCACAACATCTAAGTACTCTTCAACACAGAAAACGTAACTGACTCGACTGCTATTAGTCTACTAATAAACGCAATATGCTCTCTAAACATAGAGCTCGCATATAATAAAGAGGAATAAGACAGGTCTTAACATTATATATGTGCGTCATCGCATAAACGCCGAGAAATTCATCAATATGAGATGTTACGTATTGTAATTAGTAAAAGTAGATGTTACCGAATATCTGTTCGTGATCTCGTAGAAACATTCTGTTTTTAGATTTGATTTAAGGGTCTCAAAATGCATAAGATACACCCAAAAATTGTCATGTCACAAATCCGGTGTTTATCAGTGTTCTCATAGCTAATCAAGTCTATCGTCACAAGGAGCCATCGAAACCAATTTCAACTGTCGAAACTCATTTAGAATCAGGCCCCAGCACTTATTCGTCTTCTGTTCAATACGGTTGTCTTTTTAAAAGGGACGTTCGTTGTTTGCCTATTCATAATTTGCGTGAGAATTAAGCCAGTATGCTATTCCAGAAATTGAAATATATGCAGCTAGCCTCCGACCACAACAGTGCCCAACGAGTGGAGCGAGTAATAAAAAAAAAGACAAATATTGTGGAACGAATCAGGGCTGCTGGCGCATTTCCTATTTCGGTATTTTCCTGGAATTCCTATGTTTTGATTACACAGAAAAACTAGGAACAATAAATACTGTATTTTCCATTGAAAAATTGGATTGCGATATACATCGCATCAAATTTAGTACCAGATACATGTGCTGAGGCACGTATCCTCATTGGCGGGGAAACGAGAGTTATAAAAAATGAAGTTAATTAGATTTTGAAGCTGCAGTGTTTAGAACTCGGAAAATGGCACATGAAAAGTTTCAAATCGAATGGTGGTTCGTAAATTTCAAACTATGAGCACATTATTCGTCGGATTTTTGTTTTTTAAATTTCCAGTTATTACCGGGATCAGAAGCTTAATAATAATATACTAAGTGACATATAAATCCGAATACCGCATTTATCTTACTGTAAATAACAAGTGAAAAAATTTTCAGCCTTATCAGTTGGACATTCCGGTTTTTATACTGCCTTTTTTTAATTCACTAACGCTCTAAAAATGAATATTTCAGCAGCAGAAAAGAATCAACGTTGGCGGATTTTGGTTCTTGACATCCTTTACGATCGGTTACGATGCCTAGAGTACGGAGACCTGTACGATTTCGTCAACTTAGTGAGTTTGATAGGGGCCGTATAGTGGGACTTCGGGAAGCTGGACTTTCTTTTCGGGCAATTGCAGTTAGAGTGCAAAGAAGTGTAGACACTGTGGTTAGGTGTTGTCAAGCATGGCTTCGAGAAGGCCGTACACAAAGAGCAAGGGGCACTGGATGCCGCCGTAGAACAACAGACCGTGAAGATCGCTGCCTAAGAATATGGGCCTTAAGGGACCGTTTCTCCACTACCAGGTCCATTGCAAATGAATGGCTTGCAGAACATGGAAGACCTATTGGCATGCGAAGTGTTTACCGACGAATGAGAAGTTTTGGCTTGTTTTCATACCGGCCACACTGGGTCCTCCCTTTAACTCGAGAACACCGACGTAATCGCCTTGAGTGGTGCAGACAACGGTCACTCTGGGATCAGGAATGGAACAGTATTGTCTTTATTGACGAGTCTCGATTTTGTTTAGGCATGCACGATGGTCGTGCCAGGGTTAGAAGGCGACGTGGTGAAAGGAGGAATCCACAGTTTTTTGTTGAAAGACATGTTCATCACACTGTTGGAGTTATGGTTTGGGGTGCTATAGCTTATGGTTCCAGGTCACCTTTAATCTTCATCAGAGGTAACATGAACGCGCAGCGTTATATCCACGAAGTTCTAGAACCCCATCTTTTACCCTATCTTCACACCCTGGTAGATCCAACTTTCCAACAAGATAATGCCCGACCACATGTTGCAAGAGTCACAATAGACTTCTTTCAACATAATGATGTCACATTGTTACCATGGCCACCAAGATCTCCCGACTTATCCCCAATTAAGCACGTGTGGGATATGATGGGTAGGAGATTGCTCAATTTGCAACGTCCTCCTCAGACTCTAGAAGCACTTCGAGAGGAGTTGGTGGTTGCCTGGAATGAGATACCACAGGAGGACATTGACCACCTGATCAGAAGCATGCCTAGGCGCGTTGGAGAATGCGTAGCACATCAGGGTGCATCCACACATTATTAAAGGTCAAAGGGCTTTAAAGCAGTGCAATCATTTTGAAATGTTTATCATTTACTTATTATGCTTCATTAAGTACTTATACAAAATTTTATTAAAATAAAACCATTTAAACTGGGTGTTCGGAGT